GAAGAGAACGAAATGAAGCTCATAACACCATATATACTATTGTCCATTCATACGAAGTTATAAGGGGGAATATGAAAAACCCGGCCCCAAGACCTGAGGAAATGCAGAAAAAAATTTTAAAGGCAGACGCGGTTGGCCTTAAGAATGTCTAAGTTTGGAGATGGTGTGTGATGGAGGATCCCACAAGAGCAGAGCAGTGGGAGAGCTTCATGGCTGCAGGATTGTGTGGCAGTGACACATTTAGGCACCGGCCGGAGCTTTTCGACGTGAAATGACTGTGCAAAGAGGAAAAACAAAACATGTGGGTGCCTCAACCAAGCACTGTTTCCTCCGGATATGGCTGAACAGCATTGTAGAAACTTTTACGGCGACGATGCTTCCAAGTTAATTTTTTATAATTTTATAAAATCAATGCACGTAGACAAGTAACTGAAATGTAGTACATTTGTAAGTAATGTTCCCTGTGGTTGAGAGGTTAAATGTAAATTCAAACGTTTTAATACACCATGTTTGTTTGCAAGCCACCAGAGCATCAAAGAAAACTCAGAACTGAACATAATGACAAATTTTGAACCTCGCTCATTACTAACTTGAAACTTTACCCCCCACACGCATGACTGCGGGGAACTGTATTACACGCATCAGGGCCGCTGGGTGGAGCATTGACTGTAAAAAACTTGCCATACGTGCGGAGATATATTTAAAACTGTTTCTTAGACAGGACAAAAACGAACCGTTTATTGTTAGTGATGATTCTTGTGCGCTTCTCGGTTTCTGGCTGTCGTTCTAGCAAGCGACGAAAATATAGCAAGCAGCGATGATCCGATTTCATAAAAAATATGCATTGTTTAATAAAATTTCTCACACGTTAGTGTACTTGTTGTATTCTGAGCAGTAGCTCTGAATTATCGTTATTGTGGGTATTACAAGTAGAGATCAAGAGCCTAAAAAATCAGATGTTTGAGATAAACAGTTGTTGAAGTTGGTTTCAGCGGCTATTGTCTGAAATTGCAAAAATATAATCAACTTTCAAGCATTATGTGGGTGTGGGACTGAATGATTCAAACGTGCTCTAGAGCTAGTTGTTTTCTGCAATTTCCAATACTGTCACTTCAAAATCGTGGGAATTGTATTTCTGTTAGGGTGCAGCATGTGAACTGTTTTCAAATTCATGATTGTGCACTACAACCTACGTAACAGTTCACTCTACGTGCAGTATGGTTAGTTCTTGAGCGCGACTTCTTGTTATATCGTCTAATTTGGATCGTTCGTTGATAGTTTACAATAATGAATTACTATCGGGAACGATAAGTGAATTCCTAATCCGAAGGACTATACGTTCATTACCATAGGGTGGTTAATGGTCTACTGAATTAGAAATAACACAAAAAATAAACCAAGAATTTTTTATTTATAATACAATAACACATATATATTAAATAATAATAACAAGAAGAGGCCACAATGTGACAACCAAGAGAGATAATAATAGAAAAATAAGAGTAAATAATAAGGACTTATTGATTCTATGTCTCTCGTTTTTAAGTAAAGGCCCCCGCGCCCAAGAGAACCTAAGGGGGGGGACTCTTTGCCCAAAAAAAAAAAAAAAAAAAAAAGCTGGGTTTGGGGGGCCATAAGGAATTGAAAAAAAACCTTTTGAAAAACCAAAAAATATTTTTTGTGCGAGTTGTTTACAGTACTCCGTACACAATCCCCTCCTTTGCATGTCATCCCCTCCCACAACATCATCCCGTCGTCAAGCCCGCCCTATTCCTTATTCTCAACTCCATCCTCATCCGCGCCATATCTCCGCCCTCATCCTCACCCTCATCCCCACCATCATCTTCACCCTCATCCTCACTTAAATCCCCGTCCTTCTCGTCGACACCCTCATCGCCGTCCTAATCGCCGTCCTGATCGCTCCTAAACACCGCTCTTTCTTCACATCTGAATCGCGCTATCAATCGCTCCCTCAATCGCTTCCTCAATCGCTCCTTCAATCGCTCCCTCAATTGCTCTCTCAATCGCACCCTTAATCCCACTCTAGCCTCCCTCTCTCTCCTCTCGTG